AATTGTCTAAAATTCATTGGAGATTGGTATGAAAAAAGGTCAATTCGTGTGACTACGGAAAAATCATTTAGAATTTAAATATTGTGTATATAATACGTTATATTTCGTTTCAGAATTTATGGGAGAAATTATGGGGTGAGATAACACCCTACAACCTCATCACTGTTGAGAAATATCTAGAAGACATGCAGCACGTCGTGAACGACGGAGACCTCAGGAAGAAAGCTCATGGCTTTTTGCCTTTCCTGTTCAAGGTACAAGGACACATTTAGGCAACTGTTAGTTTTAAAATTAATTATTAATTTTGTGTTTTACAGGCCGTTGATAAGGATAAATCTGGTGAAATAACAGTCGAAGAGTTCAAGTTGTTCTTCAGTTGTCTGGGTCTCAAGGAAGAAGACGCGATCTTTTCTTTCAGGATAATCGATACCAATGGCGATGGCAGAATCAATATCAAAGAATTTGTTAATCACGGGAGGCGTTTCTTTATTACAGAAGACGAACAGTGCATTAGCAAGTACTTCTGGGGACCATTGATCGAACAATAAAGGAGAAAAGAAGGCTGACGATTTTTTTTCAAAATGAAAATGAATTCCATTTGTCTTTATTTATGTAATAAGAAAATAATGTCTAATTATTTTAGGCTGCGTGTTTTGTATTTGGAATTTATTGCTATTTTTCTAAGCTTTTTGTATAGTTAGTAGCACCATATGAAATATGATTAGTAACTAGCTTTTAAAAATGATAAAAAGCGGCGCTTTAGAAGCTGAAATTAATTTTTACGAATATTGTACACGTATGCAATAAGCACTGTGATTTTTACAATAAATTTTGTAGATGTAGAAAAATTTTTTTTTCAAGTGAATCTAGACATTATAAGTGTAATTAACTAATTACCCCCTACAGATTAACTCAAATTAATGAGAAAAAAGTGTTGCTGGTGTTAATCCCTCGCCGGGAATAGAACCCACGGCTCATAGTTTTATGTATCAGTACTCCAGCACGATGACACGTATATGTTAGGTGTCACATGTATCATCGAAACGAACTCTACATTATTATTAATAGATTACTGTTCTCAAACAGTTAAGTATGTGGGATGTTCTAGTTTTAGGGAAATGTCAAGAATAGCTCAGGATAGGAAAAAGTGGAGGTGCTCGCGAAAGGATGTTGTGCAAGAACTCGAACTTTTTCGCGAAAAAATTTGACGAAAAAACATATATTCACAAAAACCATTCGATGAACGTTTTGCCTTACCAGTATTCACGAATATGAAATGCTCGTCTGCAAACTTGGTCGAACATTTTGCGCAAAAATTTCACGAAAATATACGTATCTATTCATATAGCACTTGCTCTTTTTCAATGAATGTATAGGAGACTTTCGATTTGATGTCTGATACATGTACCGCGTCCTGCGGAAATACTAAATCCGGATTGTTATTGTGTACACACCAGTGACGACTAAGAACCGAACATATATACCTAGGGATATTTTACTACGTGTAAACATCAAGGGGCCACATTATCTTTTGAAAAATATGACGTGGTACCGAAAAAATTCTTACAACACCACTGTCCATAACTATTTGCGAACAGTAATTTAATCTAAGTCTACCTCTACTCCTCTTAACTCCTCTTTCTGCCTCTAATATGTCTTTGACTAGACCTTCATGCCTGGGAAGATGTCCTACCAACCTATCTCGCCTTGACTTATTGACTTCCATAGAGTCCTCTGTTGCCTGTCTTCCTATACTTTCTAATACCTCCTCATTTCTAACCTTCTCTATCCACGATATCCTCATAATTCGTCTGCAACACCACGTTTGGAATGCTTCTAACCTTTTCTTTTATTTCGAATTTCTAAATTAATCGTTCGCGAGCACTGAAGTGACTTCTTTTTATTGGAGGCGACTCAACCCTGCGCTATCCTCTGCTTTATATCCCTACTACTCCTCCGTCCTGACTTATCTGACTTCCCAGATACCTAAAATCAGCCACTTCTTCTAATTTTTCGTCTCCTATCTCTACACACACTCATTCCCTACTTTATCTTCCCATGCATACCAGTATTTTTGTTTTACTTTTATTTGTTTTCATACAATACTGTTTTGTCAGCACCTCTTCCATTTTATTTAAATCTATCTCCAACTCCTCATTGGTAGATGCTAATACTGCGATATCACCCCCCCCCCAATATTAATAAAAATAAAAAACAGTTGTTCCCGTGCTTTACGTTCAATTTACTTGCCTAACAAAAATTTCGGGTGGGAGGAGTTTGCCCCCCCCCCCGATTCACCCTGTCACTCGTTTGAACGCTACCTTGATTTTATTTCATTGAATGCATTTGACATAGATCACAACATGTATATAGACCACGCACTGTACAGTTTATATCTGCATAAAATAATAAAAATGTGAAAAAATTCGCTTACCTTAACAATTGATACTGTTCTTCTTGAAGCCTGTGAAAAAAAAAAATCAAGTAAATAATAAAAAAAAATACACGGGATGTTTAATGCGAAACGTATTTATTGTGGATACAAATTATAATAATATAAAACAAAAATTATTATTTAACTAAATGTTGTCATTTAATGACGTCCTAGGATACACAATTAAAAGAAAAAGCACAAGAAATTCTATTACTGTACTAGATACAAATAGAAAAATAGCAACACCTGTTAAATGCTGTAATTACGTTTATTTTAATTGTAAGACAAAAGACAAAAGAGAGTTTTGATTATTCCTTTTTTTATTTAATTCCCAGGACTGTTTTGTACTCGTTTATTTCTTTTATTATGTTTGTTATTTGATTTGACCTAAAATAAAAAACAAAAAAAATCACAACCTAGTACAAAAGTGAACAAAAAAATAATAACGACGAAAATAGTACCTAATCGAGATAAAGATAGATAACTTACATGTCCTGTAGGTTACTTCTTATTGTGCTGGACTGAACCGAGCCCAACCCTGTTTCCTTATGAGTATTTTGGTTTTTCCAATTTTCCATCTGGAACGATACATTCGTTTTAAATAATCATTTCCTTAAAATAATAATAATAAAAAAAAAAAAAAAACTGAAGGTACCTGCACGTCTTGGTACTTTTGCTGCTTCTTCAAGCGATCTATTGTACTTAAGTAAAGTTCAGTTTTCTTGCTAGCTTGCTTTAGTTCTTCTAAAAACTTCTTTTCGGCTTCTGAAAGTTCTGTCTTTTTCTCAGCCACCATCAAAAGCAATTGGTGGCACCTAATAAAAGTAAAAATGTCAGAATAATTGATGAGCAGATATTATTCAATACGGTCCTGTATATCAAATGGGGTGTTACCGGCCAACAATGAGGATACCGTGGATAGAGAAGGTTAGAAATGAAGAAGTATTAGAAAGAATAGGAGAACAGAGGACTCTATGGAAGTTAACAAGAAATAGACGAGATTGGTTGGTAGGACACCTTCTCAGGCATGAAGGTCTAGTCAGAGACATATTAGAGGCAGAAACAGGAGTTAGGAGGAGTAGAGGTAGTCTTAGATTAGATTACTGTCCGCAAATAGTTAAGGATGTGGGATGTTCTAGTTTTGAGGAAATGCGAAGATAACTACAGGATAGGAAGTAGTGGAGGTGCGTGTCCAACTAGTCGTAGGTCTGACGACCTTATGATTATGATGATGAAATTGTTCGAAGTGTTCGAAATGTGGTGTTACCGGCGAATGATGAGGATACCGTGGATAGAGAAAGTTAGAAATGAAGAGGTATTAGAAAGAATAGGAGAACAGAGGACTCTATGGAAGTTAACAAGAAATAGGTGAGATACGTTGGTAGGACACCTTCTTAGGCATGAAGGTCTTGTCAGAGACATATTAGAGGCAGAAACACGAGTTAAGAGAAGTAGAGATAGTCCAAGATTAGATTACTGTTTGCAAATAGTTAAGGATGTGGGATGTTCTAGTTTTAGGGAAATGCAAAGATTACCTAACGATAGGAAGTAGTGGAGGTGCGTGTCCAACTAGTCTTAAGACTGACGACCTTATGATGATGATGACGAAATTGTTCGAAGTGTTCGAAATGTGGTGTTACCGGCGAATGATGAGGATACCGTGGATAGAGAAGGTTAGAAATGAAGAGGTATTAGAAAGAATAGGACTACAGAGGACTATGGAAGTCAATAATAGACGAGCTAGGTTGGTAGGACACCTTCTCAGGCATTAAGGTCTAGTAAGAGACATACTAGAGGCAGAAACATAAGTTAAGAAGAGTAGAGGTGGACCTAGATTAGATGACTGTTCGCAAATAGTTAAGGATGTGGGTTGTTCTAGTTTAGCTCAGGATAAGAGTGGAGGTGTGTGTCCAACTAGTCGTAGGACTGACGACCTTATGATGATGATGATGATGATGATTTTTACCTTTTTGTAAGTTCTTCTTGTTTATCTTTTATATCTTCGTATTTTTCGGCTAGATAACCTGCCTTTTCTTGCAACATCAAGCGTTCTCTTTGCATACGGTCGACTTCCTTGAGTTGATAGTTTTTAAGCAAATTTAACGTTTTCACTCTTTTTTCTATCTCTTCGATGGCCTTCTGATGGTGTTTGAAGTGATTCTCTCGGAACGACTGAGAGGCGCGTTGGAGCAACTTAAATCATCAATATTTTCGATTATTTTATCTCAATTTAAAATAATCCCATAAAATATTTTTTTACCTCGTAGCATTCTTGTTGAGTGTGATTACCGCCAGATAATTTTAGAATCGGCTGGTTTTTGGCTTGTTTTAAAATCCTTTGAACGTATACGTCGAAAGGTTCTCGTAACATCTTAAAAAAGCAACAATAAATCTGATATTTTCATTTAGATTTTTGCCTAGTCGATATATATATATACACAGTCTAAGAACCATTTATTTAAAAGGAAAAATTTAATGGTAACACATTTGGGGCAATATGGGGAATTACGAACCGCCAACTAGGAATAAGGGGTACAAGTCCCAAATAAATTATCTGTGAGAATGGACGTATCTTCTTTATTGTTTCCATTTAGGACTGTAGTCGTTTGCTGCGTTTTGAACACGCCTTTGTTAAGTTAGGAAATGCTTCATGAGCAGTATAGACGAAGTGAAAAGAGATAACCGAGTAATAGTAAGCGGTTAGAGGTTTCTTAGGGACGCAAAATATCAAGATTGGCTATATAACTGCCTGGTTGGAATTATGCTCTTAAACAAGCTTTGCTTTCCCAAATTCCTGAGAATGTTGAACTTTCTTTTTTAAAGTTCGATGCTGGCGACATGCTCAAACTCTGCTTGTCTGCATCTCATTCTGTTACACATCAATTGGTGTCATGTTATTCCTTTTTCTTTATTAGTGTCCGCTGCAATTCGTACTTGACATCTCTTTTCTATCTTTAGTGTAGAGCTCAGCCGTTCGAGTCAGGGATGATGTAGACAAAAGTTGTTGGGAATATGAAGAATTATAAGCACATTAAAGAGTATTTCCGATTATTTATCAAATTTCCCGTTCTTTTCATAAGTGAGGTCAAATATTCCTATTAAAAAATTATTTTATCTTCAAATTACCTTGAGGCTTTACATAAACTGATTTCCCTTTTTAAAGCACATAACTGTTATCTAAAACTTTTTCGGAAATAATGAAAAATCAAACACGAATGTTCGTCTAGTCCAATCCTGTTCACTTCTTCTTTTGTTTCAAGTCACCTGTCTACCCTTCGAGAATTTAATCAGGTATACCGAAGTCTAAATAATCGTAAAATTTTCAGCACTACTAGCTAACCGCCAGCAAATCTCTTTGTGGTCTGGTGTTACTATTAAAACGATTAAAATTTCGGAAACATTAACACAAAAGTTACTTTTCTTCATACATTCAAATATCCGGATTTTCTATTATTCGAATTAATTACGATAATTAGTGCGGTTAACCGAGTCTCCACTGTGATACGTAATACAAGAGGTCTGTTCAAAAAGTGTCGCGAATATTGTGGTTTTTTCAAAAATTATTTATTTATTCATGAATATCTATTTTGTCTCATTCAAACTAATCCTCACCAGATATTATACACTTGTGCCAACGTTTTTTCCAATCTTCGAAGCACTTCAAAAAATCATTTTTTGTGATCTTGTTCAGCTCCTTCTTCGATACCGTCTTTATCTCCTCAATCGTAGAGATGGCGTCTTCCTTTCATGAGCCTTTTCAGTTTCGGAAACAAGAAAAAGTCACAGGGGGGCAGATCATGGTGCAAAAGCCAATTTTAGTGCTTCCAGAAATCCGGGCGTTTCTGGCTGATTGCTTCTCGCAAACTGTGCATAACCTCCAGGTAATATTCCTTATTGACCGTTCTACTCTGTGGCAAGAACTCATGATGCCCCACGCCCTTGCAATTGAAGAAAATTGTAAGCAAAACCTTCACATTTGACCAACTTGGTGCGCGTTTTTCGGTCTTGGCTCGTAGAGCAGCTTCCATTGGGATGATTGAGCTTTGGTTTCCACGTCATAACCATAAACCCATGATTTGTCACCAGTTATGACCCTCTGGAGCAAATTTAGATCGTTGCGGACGGAGTCCAACAGCTCCTTAGCAATGTTAATGCGATGCTGTTTTTGGTCGAAATTGATCAATTTTGGTAGGAATTTCGCGGCAACCCGTCTCATTCCCAAATCTTCGGTTAAAACTCGAAAGGCAGGAGCCAATCGATATGTTTAGGTACTGAGCAACTTCTCTAACGGTGATTTCCTTCCCTTCATCAATGTTTTCGTCTGTTGTTGACGTTCTCGAGCGTCTGGCACGCTCTTCGTCGTTCACATCTTCTCGGCCCTCTGGGAACATTTTGTACCACCGGTAAACGTTACTCTGGTCCAAGGTAGCTTCACCATATGCCATAGTCAACATTTTTGTTTTTCACAGAAAGTTTGATACAAATTCTTTGATCCATTTTTTGGAATAGGCAAAAATCGAAGACGCGCGTCAAAATACGTGCAGTTAAAGCAGCTTTCAAAAGTTAGTTGAACATTCAACATGACCGAACTTGTTGGTATAATTGAGAGACATGAGTACCAACTTAATGACACAAAAAAATCGAATATACGTAACCTCGGAAACTCAAAATTCGCGATACTGCTTGATCTGACCTAATACATAATATAGAATTTAATAAGTTCTTACCTTCTTCAGAGGGGAATCCAGGTTATCTATATTATCGTAATCAATGTCACCATAATTGTGTATCAATGAAGGCGCTAATGATAAGACGACTAATTGTCCATTTGATAAAAGTACTAAAACACTTGGAGGGTTGTAATACAATGCGAAGCCTATAACGGGATTTTTGTTATCTGAATTTGCAATCTTTGTACATAGAAGGTAGTCTGCTGAGCTACGTTCGTTTACAACGTTTTCCAAGTCTGAAATATGAATACCGTATTTTTTATGAGCAGTTAAAAAAGTTTCGAAGCAGTTACCATCTTCAGGCCCACTAAAAAACTTTTGTAACTTATTTGCAGATGGAACTGTAACAGAATGTATTCCCGTTTCATGTATAGCAAAATATCTGTCACTCCTCGAATCATCTGGGTATAAAAAAATCGGACAAATGTACACGCTACTCGGCTGACAAGTGGCTAAACCCAATTCCAATTCGATTTTTTCATACACGTACAAAGATCTGTCGTGTCTATGTAAATATTCGTCCATAGATTTGCACTGTAAATATAAACAGATATCACAAAACGATTATTTTTATCAATTATTAATGTGAAATTTCATTTTAATTTCCTCCCACTTTAAACTACGTCAAATTAACGAGGGAAAAATTGTTGCTGTTGTCACGCCCTTGTCGGGAATCGAACCCGGGACCTTTGGCTTTACACACCAATGTTCTAACCACTAAGCTACAAGAGGAGACAACAGCAACAACGACAAACCGTACTTATTAGGTCACAGATCTGTCGAGCTAATGTAACTTTATTAATACTATAAATATAAAACACTTTTAACATTTAATAGGGGTTAATATCAAATATTAATGCGAAAATTNGATTGTGCCTCTTTGTCGCTCGTTCCGCGCTCTCGCTTGCACTTCAAGCCTTAAACGGAACGCCTCAGAGCGAGGTAACGCCGCATGAGTCATGTTTTTTCGTGCGTGCAGCCGGCTCCATCGAATTATAAGACGTTGTCACGTCAAAAAATTAATAATCATCACTGCCAGATACTTCCACTGGCGGTAACTTCTGCCAAAATGCACCAAAGGTGGCAAAAAAAATCATAACTTTACTTACAGTCTGAGTCTTCATTTTTGAGTATGATTTCAAAATTTTTTGTAGGCAGCCAGACTAATTGTAAGGATCAAACAATCCCAGTCACAAGTAAAATGTCGTGAGTATAAGCACAAGCGCGATTATTAGGTGACTTTATAACATTTTAATTGTATCTGGGGGATGTTTGGCCACTACAATTAGTCTGGGTGCTTGTAAAAAACATTAAAATAGTTCTCTAAGTATCATAAGACCATAAGATAAATAAAATTACCATTTTTTGTGAACTTTGAATCGTCTGGCAGAACTTACCGCCGATCGGAAGTGTCTGGTAGAGTCGATTTTTAATTTTTAACAATATTCTGCGAAATATTATGAAAAAAAGTAATGTTTTTACCTATTCAAAGTACCTATACCCCGTGTCACGTAAAGTGACGACTGAAGCAATAAAACTGCCAAGTTGTGACGCCTACCTGGATTTACAATGTTATGGCATTACTCAAACGAAACTCGTTTTGTATTCTGTTAACCATTTGTGTCTATAAGGACCAAAAATTCGAATTTTCTACCCACGTTATCCTCATCATTCGTCTATAACACCACATTTCGAAGGCTTCTGACCTTTTCTTTTCCGCCGCGCCCACTGTCCATGTTTCGCACCCGTACAACGTCGCACTCCAAACATACACCTTTAACAACCTTTTTCGAATTTCTAAATTAACCGTTCGCGAGCATAGAAGTGACCTAATAAGAACTTTTTTATTTAATTTTATTGTTGCTACTCTTTGGTTTCTCTTTACCCACATTGAAAACTTTCACCTGTATAATCGACTGTTCACTTTTATCAGAAAGTAACCATCAGCAATATTACTAATTAATTACAGTGTACCAATTGGTAATTTCTGCAGAGTACCTACATGGTACCATATGGCGCCAGGTGTTAATTATTTATGCAAAATAAATATAACCAGTTAATGATGAATTACTGGAGTGTACTACATTCGGATTTTGTGAATTCGGTTTACTATGTAAAAGAAATTCAATAAAACAATCTAATAGAATAATAAGTCGCTCTTTGTATAAATCAGTACGAATTGCCGAAATATGTCTAGACAACCCATGTTTACGATGGGTTTAATATGAAGTATGTTGTTTCTATGTCAGTACTTAAATTAGGTACCAGTTTTGAGAGGCCATTAACCTAAAAGCAATTTTATTATCAGTTAGTTGCCGTTTGATAAAAAAAGAGGCTAGAGTTATGATCAGGGGCGTCAATGTGCTTTTTGTAGGGCCCCTAATCAATTTATGCCAAAGAAAAATTAGAATTAAACTCCATCCCAATTGAGAGGATGAATCAACTCCTCAATAACTCAATAATTACAGGGAAGGGTGATTGAGAACATGGGTTTATAAGTTTACATCTCATTCCTTGTGTCTACGTCTGTATGCCTAAAAAATTCTGTCACACACATATTACCGCCCTTGGTTATGATGTTTCAATAAATGATATTCGTTGTTCCAATCAAATGTTTTTAATTTTTAAAAAAATAATTCTTTTTGTTTTGGTGCAGGGACAGACCGAGTTATGGCGACGAAAAATGCGAACATTCCACGGCATTCTAGACGTTAATAAAGATGGAGTGATCTCATTCGACGACTTCCAACTCCTTTCCAATAGGTTCATAGATTTAGGTCATCTTAGCGATAAAAGTACACAAGAATTTCGCCAGTCTATTAGAGTAAGTACCTACATTAAAAAATAATGACAATTTGAATCGAATATTTCATAATTTTCTAAAAATTTTGCACATACTCTATTATTCGTATTTTTTAATATTTTTGTCGCTAATTGCAATACAATTAAATAATGAACATGTCAATTTTCTATTAAATGATTTGTGTATGCTTATTTTATGTTCTTAAATTCTGTATCTAAAGTACCTGCCGGTTTTACCTACATACGCAAGCTTTATCACATGGTTCACTATTGAAATTTAAAAATTCTACTGATTTTTTTATTGCAATTGTCTAAAATTCATTGGAGATTGGTATGAAAAAAGGTCAATTCGTGTGACTACGGAAAAATCATTTAGAATTTAAATATTGTGTATATAATACGTTATATTTCGTTTCAGAATTTATGGGAGAAATTATGGGGTGAGATAACACCCTACAACCTCATCACTGTTGAGAAATATCTAGAAGACATGCAGCACGTCGTGAACGACGGAGACCTCAGGAAGAAAGCTCATGGCTTTTTGCCTTTCCTGTTCAAGGTACAAGGACACATTTAGGCAACTGTTAGTTTTAAAATTAATTATTAATTTTGTGTTTTACAGGCCGTTGATAAGGATAAATCTGGTGAAATAACAGTCGAAGAGTTCAAGTTGTTCTTCAGTTGTCTGGGTCTCAAGGAAGAAGACGCGATCTTTTCTTTCAGGATAATCGATACCAATGGCGATGGCAGAATCAATATCAAAGAATTTGTTAATCACGGGAGGCGTTTCTTTATTACAGAAGACGAACAGTGCATTAGCAAGTACTTCTGGGGACCATTGATCGAACAATAAAGGAGAAAAGAAGGCTGACGATTTTTTTTCAAAATGAAAATGAATTCCATTTGTCTTTATTTATGTAATAAGAAATTTTAGGCTGCGTGTTTTGTATTTGGAATTTATTGCTATTTTTCTAAGCTTTTTGTATAGTTAGTAGCACCATATGAAATATGATTAGTAACTAGCTTTTAAAAATGATAAAAAGCGGCGCTTTAGAAGCTGAAATTAATTTTTACGAATATTGTACACGTATGCAATAAGCACTGTGATTTTTACAATAAATTTTGTAGATGTAGAAAAATTTTTTTTTCAAGTGAATCTAGACATTATAAGTGTAATTAACTAATTACCCCCTACAGATTAACTCAAATTAATGAGAAAAAAGTGTTGCTGGTGTTAATCCCTCGCCGGGAATAGAACCCACGGCTCATAGTTTTATGTATCAGTACTCCAGCACGATGACACGTATATGTTAGGTGTCACATGTATCATCGAAACGAACTCTACATTATTATTAATAGATTACTGTTCTCAAACAGTTAAGTATGTGGGATGTTCTAGTTTTAGGGAAATGTCAAGAATAGCTCAGGATAGGAAAAAGTGGAGGTGCTCGCGAAAGGATGTTGTGCAAGAACTCGAACTTTTTCGCGAAAAAATTTGACGAAAAAACATATATTCACAAAAACCATTCGATGAACGTTTTGCCTTACCAGTATTCACGAATATGAAATGCTCGTCTGCAAACTTGGTCGAACATTTTGCGCAAAAATTTCACGAAAATATACGTATCTATTCATATAGCACTTGCTCTTTTTCAATGAATGTATAGGAGACTTTCGATTTGATGTCTGATACATGTACCGCGTCCTGCGGAAATACTAAATCCGGATTGTTATTGTGTACACACCAGTGACGACTAAGAACCGAACATATATACCTAGGGATATTTTACTACGTGTAAACATCAAGGGGCCACATTATCTTTTGAAAAATATGACGTGGTACCGAAAAAATTCTTACAACACCACTGTCCATAACTATTTGCGAACAGTAATTTAATCTAAGTCTACCTCTACTCCTCTTAACTCCTCTTTCTGCCTCTAATATGTCTTTGACTAGACCTTCATGCCTGGGAAGATGTCCTACCAACCTATCTCGCCTTGACTTATTGACTTCCATAGAGTCCTCTGTTGCCTGTCTTCCTATACTTTCTAATACCTCCTCATTTCTAACCTTCTCTATCCACGATATCCTCATAATTCGTCTGCAACACCACGTTTGGAATGCTTCTAACCTTTTCTTTTATTTCGAATTTCTAAATTAATCGTTCGCGAGCACTGAAGTGACTTCTTTTTATTGGAGGCGACTCAACCCTGCGCTATCCTCTGCTTTATATCCCTACTACTCCTCCGTCCTGACTTATCTGACTTCCCAGATACCTAAAATCAGCCACTTCTTCTAATTTTTCGTCTCCTATCTCTACACACACTCATTCCCTACTTTATCTTCCCATGCATACCAGTATTTTTGTTTTACTTTTATTTGTTTTCATACAATACTGTTTTGTCAGCACCTCTTCCATTTTATTTAAATCTATCTCCAACTCCTCATTGGAAGATGCTAATACTGCGATATCACCCCCCCCCCAATATTAATAAAAATAAAAAACAGTTGTTCCCGTGCTTTACGTTCAATTTACTTGCCTAACAAAAATTTCGGGTGGGAGGAGTTTGCCCCCCCCCC